GGGTGCAGTTAGGAAACGTAAACTACCAGGTTTGGTTGATTCATTTTCATTTATAGCAAATAACATATATTTATTTAGGGTTATAAGCAGTTGACTGGCTGTGACTCAAGCCATAAAGAAACCATTGCACTTCACTCCCTGCATCCTGAGGAATGCTCCTGGAGCCCATGAACCCTGTGAGGGTTACAGGTTCTTCATTGAGGGCCATCTAGGGCAGTGTGAGATGGCCAGGTAGGTCCCCATGTTGGGGCATTGATGTTGCTGTTGAGGATGGTCTCGAAGTCATCAGGACCATCTGGGTACTTGGTTAACTAGACCCATCAAGAAGTGTCCCATGCATGGTACTGTCAGCTGACACCTCTCCAGACAGCATATCCTCTGCACTTGCGGAGGTGCTGAGGGGTCCTGGATGCCAGCCAAGCCCTGCCTACTCTCTGCAGGTCACTCGAGAGTCTGAGCACCTGCTGGGGCTAAAGCAAATCTTCACGATCAGATCAACTCCAATGCACAGTGTCCCAATACCCACATTTCACTGTCAAAGGAGTGACCATCACCCCCACAGTCCTCCCAGGGACACCCAGGAAAGTGCTGACGGGGACCTTGGTGCTCATGGGCTGTTCTGGAAGCTCCTGTCCACAATGACCCCTTTGAATTCACACAATGGATACGAAAACTTGCATTTCCATGTTATTTGCAAGATTGAGTACAGTAGTCAAGCTGCCAAACAGCCTGTGCCCACGGTTGGATGAGTGGGTAAAGAATAGAATATTTTTCAGCTCCTCTTCATGTGTGTTTCTCAGTGATGCTTGAGCTTCCTCACAACATGGTAGCTGGCATGTCCACCTGCTTTCTCCCCCCATGCCCAGTGAATAATCTTGGAAAGAGACAGCAAGGAGAGGAGGAGGCTCTAATGATGTGCATTACATCAGATGTCTCAGATGTCACGCAATACCCCATCATCCATTTCTGTTATTTAGAAATAAGTAACTAAGTCCAGCTCACACTCAAGGAGAGAAGAACTAGGTTCCCTTTCCTGAAGAGAAGCCTATCAAAGAATTTGTAGCCATAAGTTAAAATTAACATATTGGTCTGTCTGCCTCTAGGGTCCACAATCCTGGACGCATTGACCAAAGATTATAAGAGAAAATCCAAGTCCTAGGGTCCTCTCAGAGCTGATGATGTTATTCCACATCACTGCGTCCCCACCACAGCCACCCTATTGCTACCCCTGTTCCAGATGAAGAAGCAGAAGCCCAGAGAGGCTGGTCATCTTCCAAGGTCAATTTGGAAACACCTGGCAGAGGCAGGGTTTGGTCCCAGGACTGTCTGATCCCAGCTTCTATCACCATAAGAGCCAACACTTGGAGTTTTTCCTGTTCTCACTCTGATCTGGACATGGACCATATATCCGCTCTGGACGTTCACATCAGCCCGTGAGATAGGTCCTGTTAGTACTGGATCCACTTTACAGGTGGGGATATGAGGCTTAGAGAGATCAAGATCCTTCCCAGGACAATACCTGACTAGCAAGCAACAGAGGTGGGATTTGAACTCTGGTGTATGGTATTGGGTTTATCCTTCGTGCTCTTAGATCTAATTCTAATCCAATCCAATCCAATCCAATCTAATCCAATCCAGGCAATCCTGCTTCTTGGTGGAATGTGGTGTATTTTTGTGCCTGTTCTTAGCTGCAGCTTCATGCCGCAGGGCCCCTTGAAGCACAAATAGGGAACCACTGATGAATCGTCCTTGGTGATTGTGCCAGTTCTGGCCTATTGATAGTAAAGCTATTGACTAGAAATTCCTGGGTTACTTCCAGGGTCCAGGTGAGCTTCCCACAGACATTTTCCTTTTAAAAACCAATGTTGCTGGACTGACCCTTGGGGTTTTTATTATGACTGCAAGATCCCCTCCAGCAATAACCCCTGGGAAAATCTGGAGAAAGAAACATTTATCACTTATAGTCCCTGGAGCTTATGAGGGGCACCAAGCGGCACACAGCAAAGTCATGGGGTGACGGGGATGGGGTGGGGGGCTCAGCTTTTATTTGGGTTGAGAATGGATTGCAGGGTCACACTTATTTGGTCAGTTTGAAACATAAGAGCTAAATTTAAAGTTCAAGAAGAAAGAGAGAAAAAGGGAAATACTCCCATAGTTGGCCCCAAATGGCCAGTTTTGTAAATGAACCAGAATATGAAAAATAAAAGAGCCTTAAGGGGCAACCAGGCTGGCTTCCATCCAGCCGCTTGCCTGGCAATGTGCCTATTTGAGAAGCTTCCTGACACCTGGCATATCAACCCTTAAGTCAGGTACTTGCATTACAGAGAGAAAAGCCAGCTATGGGGCTTGACAACCTCTTAGGATCCACTAGACAGATGTGGCCGAGCACCCGTTCTGTCCGCTTAAAGACCAGTTCCGGCTTGTCATGTGTTGACACAAGCCTCAGTCCATGCCTGGGCAGTAGCTGCTGTATATGCCTTTTTTTGGGGGGGGGTGTAGAAGAACTGGGGTACAGGCCAGAGGGGCAAGAGGTGATTAGATTCACTAGAGACAGAGTGGGGAGCAGAACAGGTGGATTTACTCAAATACACTGCTGAGGGGAGCAGCGGGTGAGACAGGAGAGGTCTGCTGCGCCGTGTGGGTAGCTCCCTGACAGGGGATCAAACTTAGCTCCCTGACAGGGGATCAAACTCAAACCCTAAGTTTGAGACTGAATCCCTAGGTCACCAGGGAGACCCAGAGCTGGTGCATAAAGATCCTTTTTGCCCGGCTCCTCCGTGGGATGACCGCAGAGGATGTTCCCTGTTGTCTGCCAGAGGTTCCCAGTAAGAGTTAGCTGCAGGTTCTCACCGTGTGACTGTCCTGATAACAACCCGCTGTGGATCCTTTCTCCTCTCTTCTCACCTCCCCACCCACATGCCCACATCCGTCACCCCTCACCTCTCTGATAAACTGCTTTCACAAGAATGCTTGCTTTAGTGTCTGCATCCGAGAGACCCAGGCTAAGATTCTCCTAGACCTTCATAATAAGAGACTGGGGTTATGTTTGAGTGAGTGCGATGTGGTTTTGAGTTTGGGCTGCAGGATGATGTGCTTTTTGGAGTCAGTGGGTTTGGAGTGCAGGGCCTTTGGGTTCTCTCCGGGAAAGGTGTCACCAGAGCTCCCCTCTCAGCGGCACGCGGCGAGTTTCCAGGGAGAGTTTCTCCACGAGACAGAGACGTTAGTTATATTTAAAGAGCAGGTTTATTAGAGAAAGGGACAGAAGAGTAAAAGACACTTGCATAGACACACACGGGCAGGAGGAGCTGCCGGAAAGGGTCAGGCTTGCTGAGAGAGGCCTGCATGGTTGCAGGTGGGCGGCCTTGAGGAGAGCGGCCTCCGCTGAGGGAGGTCAGTAAAGAGAAGTCCCAGCAGGTACAGGTCACAGGCAGGCAGGAAGCTGCTGCCCTGCAGAGGAGAGAGTTGGTGAAAAGAGGCACCTACATAGTCACAGGTGGGCAGGACTGCTGCCCTGTGCCAGTGCAGAGACTTGGCTGATACCCACAGTCTTCTGTTTGGGAGGGGTCAGTCCTTTGTGGAGTGGCCTGGTTGCTGCTGATTTTGGATAACTGAGAATCTGAAAGGGACCAGAGATTCCAGGACGGGCCCGATCTCTATATCTTTACCCTCACATCTGTGCTCCGGACACTCCCCGCAGCATCTGCCACCTGCTTGGGCCTTATGCCTTGTGATAAGGCGCTGGTGCCTAAGGATCTTGATTTCTATAGCTGGGTTAATGGTCACGTTAATCCTCTCCACCCCCACCTCCTTGTGTGTGTTCAGGGGGGCTGAGGACCAGGTAGAAGTGTTGCTGTGATATAGTAGACAAATGAAGGAAGATGAAATGGTTAAACCTTGGAGTCAGAAGGCTCTGGGTTAAAATTTCAGGTTTTTTTTTTTTTTTAAAGATTTTTTTATTTTTATATAAGAACCAGGGTACAGGCCAGATGCACAGGAGGGTGAGAGGATTCACCAGAGACAGAGTGGGGAACAGAACAGGGAGACTAGAAATACACAGCTGAGGGGAGCAGCAGGCGAGACAGGAGAGGTCTGCTTTGCCATGTGGGATTCTCACCATCCGGCCGGGATCAAACTGCACTGCAGAGGCTGCGGACAGGTTCACAGCGCTGCACTCAACCGCCTGCGCCACCAGGGAGGTCCCAAATTTCAGGTTTAAGTCATGTCTCCTCTCCAAACCTCAGTTTCCTTTTTAATTTTTTGTAAAGTGGGTGGGGTTGAAATGTTTACTTTATGGTCCTCCCCTGGTGACGCAGGTGGTTGAGCCCAGCGCTGTGAAGCTGTCCGCAGCCACTGCAGTGCCAGTTCGATTCCCAGCCAGGGAGATTCCCACATGGCACAGCAGACCTCTCCTGTCTCGCCCGCTGCTCCCCTCAGCAGTGTATTTCAGTCAGTCTGCCTGTTCTGTTCCCCACTCTGTCTCTGGTGAATCCTCTCATCCTCCTGCACATCTGGCCTGTAACCCAGTTCTTGTATAAATGAATAAATCTTAAAAAAAAAAAAAGAAATGTCTCCTTTACAATGCTGACATGAGGTTAAATTTAGTTGGCCTGTGTCTAGTACAGTGCCTGGCATGTGATGGCAGGGATGGTTATTTTTATAGAGCAGGGTGGAGAGATGCCCTTAAATTTGGGATTTGCCTTCTTGGGAAAAAATGGTGAAATCTCATTTATTATTGGTGCAATGAAAGAAGGTGATGAGAGATGGGAGATAGGTGTTGGTGGGGAAGACAACAGGAAAGAGAACAAGGAGAGAGAACAGCGACACGCCAACAGGAGTAACTACTCATTGTGAAGAGAGGGGAAAGTTAAGGGCCTGCCCCATTGTCCTTATTTAGTGGTAGCAACTCAGCAGAAAGGACTGTGATGCTCTGGTTACATTGAGCAATCCCGGCTCTACCCCTTCCTTTTACCCACTCTTGGTTGCTGAAAACCCGAGGAAGGGAGAGAAGGTTCCCCTCTTCGAATCACAGAACCGTAGCATGATGTGGCGCTTCAGCGTGTTCCTTTTCTGCGGTGAGTGTGAGGGTGAATGGGGGTGCCAAGGGAGGCCTGGGCTGGAAATGTTGTGTGTGGGAAGGGAAGCTCAGGGACTGTCCAGCCAAGAGATCATAATTCCAGGCTGGACAACCTTTGATAAAAGATCTTTGATAAAAAAACCACTCAGCTTGGAATTGTATCTGTCAGAACAGTTTCTTTATGGTCATTCATTTGATGTGTGTTTCCCGGGCACTTCTTGTGTGATGACAGCTGCTATTCTAGGCACCATGGATAGAGCAGTGAACAAACAGACAAGGTTCCTGCTCTGGGGATGGGAATGGCGGACCAGTAAGAGGGGTGGACTGAAGAGATGCACTACCTGTAATAGCAAACACCCACTTAGCGCCACTTCAAGATCCTCAAATAGAAAGTACATTCAATTTTCACAACATTTCTCTCATGCAGGGTCTTTACTAGCCCCATTTTTACAGAGGAGGAGATGGACTCAAAAGAGTGGCCCAAGACCCTTAGCTAGTAAGGGATAGAGCCAGAATTTAAAACTAGGCAGTCTCGTTCAGCATCGGTACGAGTTATCACTATACTGCGCTGCAGCAAATAATAAACAAAAGCGCCTCAGATAAGTGCTAAGTGGAAGTGCTAGGAGAGAAGTTGTTACGGAGCATGAGCGGGGATCATGTTGAAAGGAGAAGTCAGGGAAGACATTTCTGAGGGGTGATATTTGTTCTGACACCTTAACAGTGAGGCTCTGCCTCACTGTTATGTCTATTCTCTGATTTCTCCCTGTTTGGGTGTCTGCTTGTCTTGATCTTATTAATCTTCTATATTGAGGTTTTCTTCACGTTTTGTGAGTCCTGGCCATTGAGTCCAATCTAAACAACAAGTGTGGGTTTTCTCTGCTATTGTATGGTGGGTTTGCTCCTCTGACTTTATGGAAGAGTAAACTTAGGCATGAAACGATTAAACTTTGTTTCTAAAGTCACACTGTCAGTAATTGGTGAAGCCAGATTTTGAAACCCAAGTATTTTGACTCCAGAGTTCATATGCTTAACACGAAGGGTGGGATGGTTCGTTTGCTAAAATAATGAACAAGAAAATTTGAGTTAGTGATCATGAATGACGGTGCTTAGAATCTAGGACTTGTCAATCAGAAGACTTCACTAGAAGGTACAAGTAACTTGTGTCCCAAATGCAGGAATGTGGAGTTGTTACTGTGGAGTATCAGCTCTGAGATTAGCTAATAGCACCCCTTATTCCAATCTAAATTAGCCAAGAGTGCTGCTGATATTGACAATGTTGATGATGGTGGTGATGATGATGGTAATGAAGATGATGGTGGTGTATTGGTGGTGGTGATGAGAAAGGTGAAGATATTGGTGGTGGTGATGAAGGTAATGGTGGTAGGGATGATGATGGTGAGGAAGATGGTGATAGTGATGGACACCCACACTCACCATCACTATCACCATCTTCCTCACCATCATCATCCCTACCACCATTATCTTCATCACCACCACCACCATCAATATCTTCACTCAGATGATGACTTTGATGATAATGTTGAAGAAGGGCTAAATGCTGGTGTAACACATTTTAGACATTTAAAAAAAATGAATCACTTTACAGTATATCACTACAGAGATACTGTGTATCTATATGTGTACATTCATCATGTTTTCTTTCTTCACAGGATATTGTGGTATGTACAGTTGTGAAGGATCCACAGCACCCACACTGGCACCAATGGCAAGGGGTAAGTTGGTGGAAGAGAATCTGTATGTCCAATGTGGTGGGAGGACAGTTTCTAGGGAGGAGACGCTTCTGTTCAGGAAGGCAGAGACAAGGCGGGATGCTTTCTGGGAGCTGGTTGCTGAGAGAGCAAGGGCTGACATCCAGGTCTCTTGGTTCCCAGCCCAGGCTCTTCCCTTTGTGCCCCAGGCATGCGAGATCTCAGGCACGTCGCATTCCTCTCCGATCTTCAATTTCCTCAGCTGTGAAATACGATAGCAAAGGCTCCTACCCTACAGGAATATTGTGAAGTTTAAATCAAAAGTGGCACCTGGTACATGAGGCAGTGTGGTGGGAGTATGGGCGGAATTTACTCTAACTACAACTCTGTGTTGAAAAAAGCATTTTTCTTGTTTTGTTGGGTTTTCATCTTCCATGTAAACTCCTGCTGGGTAGGGGAGGGAGAGCATCACCAGTTCTTTGTGTTCTCAGCAACTCCATTTCCTAGTTCAGTCCCACTTGTGAAACTCAGAGTGTTTTCTTAGTTTATTCTGGTTCCTCCCAAGATGGTGTCTGAAGGTTGGTTTTGGGTCAGCTGATAGGAGCCTGTGAGTGTGAAATGTGGGTTCTGGGTGGGGCGTTTTGTTTCTTGGTGACACATGGCCTCACTTTACCTTTCCTGCTATCCTCTGGGAGGCTCTGTATGGTTCATGGAGCTCCTGGTTCCTGGGTTCAGGCTATAAGAAACCAGAAGTGTTTTCTTGAACCCTTTGCTGGCTATTTCCTTCTGCTAGTTCTAATCATCTGCTCCCTCACCATTGTGGCAACAGCAGGAGTCGAGTTTCTTCTCGTAGACCAGGAGATTCCACCCATCTTTTGTTGGCAGAAATTGACCCCTAGCTTTGATGCCCCTGAAATTTGCCATTTCTGTCTGGTAGTTTCCGAAGTGACCCATCTTCACCTAGGTTTAGCCTTGGGGTGGGGTGGCAGAGGAGCAGGGTACCCGAAGGGTCCATTTCACCTTATCCCTCTATCAGCTTCCCACAATTTTTTTCCTCTCTGTATGATAAATATTTCCCTTGCATCCATCTTGAGTCTTCTCTATACTTCCGCTTAATGGAAACTCTATCTTCCAGTCCTTCAAGCCTACCTATTAAAAATAAAGTTTTATTGAGATGTAAATGAAAGTGTGTGTATAAAGTGTACCTGTTGATTTGATACACTTATATAAGGCAAAATGATTACCACTGTAGCACTAGCTAACACCTCCATCATGTCACATAATTACCATTTTCTTTGTGGTGAGAACATCTAAGAACTACTTAAGTATGTTACACAGCATTGTTAACTATAATCACCAGGCTGTACATCAGATTCCCCAGACTTACTCATTTAATAAGGTTTTGCTTTCAAGTCTATTATCTTGCTGGGAACTCAAAAATTTGTATTCAGTAATTAAAATCTGAAACACTACCATTTTGTTCTTATTGTGTGTATGCTGCTAAGACATCTTAATTTCCCCCCAGCAAGATAAATTCCTTTGGAAGAGTGTGTTGCAGGAGGAGGGTCACATCCTTATAAATAGAAGAGAAAATGACATCAATATATTTCTACAAAGGTCATCCTTAATTTAAAAAGCCTATCATTGTTTCTGACCCTGAAAAGCCTTGCCTGGTGAGGAAGCGATTGTATTTACCTCCGCAGCTCCGGATGCAGCACATGCTGGCCCGTTACGTGGGTAAATGAAAGGCACACACACCCCATGCTGAGAGTGTGGGAAATGTCATGGTAGAGGACATATAAGAATTAAAACATTGGAACTGAAAAGATGTAACATTTGAGAAAAATTGGTGCTATTGGGATTAAAAATGCATAAACAGGTGTTAATGTTAATGCATCAATATTGCTCATTTTAATATATGTTCCACTTCATAAAATGCCATCAAATGCACATGTACTTTGACACAGAAAATTCTCATCCAGAAATGTATTCCAAAGTATATTCAGAGAAGCGGTCTGGCCATACTTTAATACTTGGAGCTTAGAATAAACTGTTTACACTAAGGGACTGCTTGATTAAATTGTGTTGTTAGAGGAACACTAGCTATTGTAACAAATGAGCCACAAACCATCAGTGACTTAATAAAAAGAAATTTAATTCTTATTTAAGAGTCAAATGCAGGCATTTCTTTCTAGTGGGTGACTCTCCCATGTGATGATTATGTCTGTGGTTTATCCATAGAAGGTCTCGGAATTTCTGCAGCCAGTGGCAGGAAGGTAAATAAATGGTGGAGAAGACAAATTCGTGTTATGAAACCTAAGCTTGGCACATGTCACTTCCACTCACCTGGCTGTATCTGGAGAGGTTCAAACACAGCCTGATCTTGCAGGAAGTTCTCGTGAGTTGTGCTAGCAAGGTCCACTTGCCCAGAGGCCAGGGCCAGGCGGGGCGCTGAGCCTCCTTCACGTGTCAGTCTGGGCTTCTGGGCAAGTGAAACGGCAGGAGGAATGGGTGCGCCAACCTGCTAAAGTGGGTGTGGGTGGTAAAGCCAGTAGTGGCTACATCCGGCTTCTTATCTGGCAAGGTATAAAGAACTCATGAGCTGATGTAGGTCAAGAGACTGGTTTTCCTCTTCACACGCCCACCCCTGCTTTCTTAACTTCCTGCAATAATCGTGGCATTCAGGGGCATACGGATCAGGTGAGAGTGTGGTTCATGGCTGGCTCTTAAAGGGACCTAATAATGTCCTTTCCTCTGCTTGCAGATTGGCGATTGAGGGTGATGATTCTCCCTCCTCATTCTCCCTCTGCTCTGTTCCTCCCTCCTTCTTCCCCCAAGAAACACAAAATTATGTAGTTCTTATTGGATGGGCTGCAGCAGGGCCAAGGCTGGGACTGCGTGAGGGGGCACAGCCAGGTATGGCCGGGTGTCCCGGACTCCATTCTAGCACTTCCGACTTAGGTGTGGCCTGGGTTAGGTCACACAAACTCTTTGGTCTCCATTTCCACATCTGTAAATGGGAGTCACAAATGTTTACCTTGAAGTAGGGTGACCAACTGTCTGGGCTTTCCACAGGTGAGGGATTTACTCCTGGATGCTAGATTTTGAGCACTCACACTGGGGAAGACTTGGGGAAAACCAGGATGACTTGGTCATCCTACCTTGAAGCATTATTGGGGGGCTGCAGGAAACACATGGAAGGGGCCTGGTGTGTGGAAGGCACCTATGAAATCCAAGCTCTCATTCTATTTTAAAGAGTCTCTTTGCCTCTGAGTTTCATTTTCCACTTAGGTCTATTATGATCATCCATTATGTTGTTTCGCTTATTAAGGGTCAAGTGTGGGTCTCAGGTGGATGGTCTAAATGGAGTTAGCCCTGGTCTCCTGCCTTGCTGTCCCTTCAGAAGCAGCTACCAAAGAGTGCTTGTGAGCACCTGAGTCTGGTCCTGCCCCTCCTCTGCCCATGATCCTCCAAGGGTTTCCTCTCCCTCCTCATCACTCCACACCCCCAACCCCATATAAAAGCCCACACCATCTGGAAACCCAGAAGGCCCTGCAGGATCTGCTCCTTCCCTTCCCTCACTTCCTCTTCTCTCCTTCTACTCCTCACAACTACATCCCACACATCAGACACCACCTACCTCAGGACTTTTGCAAGAACGTTCCCTTGGCCTGGAATGCATTGCCCTGCACATACACATAGCTTCCTCCATTAGCTTTATGTTTCAGTTCATGCACCATCTCCGTGGTGACTGCCCTACTTTTGGCATTATGTCCCCCAACCCCACTGCTCCAGATTATCAACTATGTGATGGTGGGGAATTTTGCACATCTTGTTCCACTGCTGAATCCACTATGTCCAGAACAGTCCTGGCATATCGTAGGTGTTTATTAGACAGGGCTTTCCAGAGAAAGGAAACCAATAGGATGGCTATCTGTCTGTCCATCCATCCATCCACCCATCTTCTTCATTACCATCATCTATCTGTGTATGTGAAGATGTATTTTAAGGAATAGGCTCATGTGATTATGAAGCTCCAAGATTTGCAGGGTGAGGTCCAAAGAACCTGAGACTGCAAAGCATCTGGGGAGCTGGCGAAGGTGAGCATAGCTGATGGAGCACAGGAGGTGAGCCAGTGAGACTGACAGGATCTCAGTTGACAGGACTGGGTTGTTATGCTGCTTTTGGGTGGACTTGAGCTTGAGAGATTGAGCTAGAGAAAAAGAGTAGTGGGAAGCTCACAGAAGCTAGAGACCACAAGTGGTAATTGAGCCGGAAGTCCACAGAGAAATGTTGCCTCTGCAGATGAAAGAGGAAGCTGGAAATGAGAAGAGAGATACAATCTGAGGCATCTTGCAGGGAAGGGAGATAAACAAGGTTTGTTGGAGGGAAGAGAGGGCCCGACTCTCATCACCCTGATAATGATAATCCCGTGACCTCTCAGTCTACCAGTTGACATTGATGGGTTCCTCTCTTTCTTTCACACCCCACATCTAACTCATTGGAAGATCCTATTAGTAGCATCTTCAAAATCAATCCAGAATCTCATTCTTCCCGCTGCTCCCCGCTGGGCTGTATCCACCCAGGTGTATCATTGCCTCCCAGCCCCCAGCCATTTTTCTTCTGGAAGTTGGGCCACATGTCACAGAAGTCACTGGCAATGGTCTAGAAGATCCCACATGATCTGGCCATGTCAGCCCAGGTGAAGAGGGGAAGAAGTGGAGAAGAATGCTCCTTCTTTTAAGGGTAGGGCTTAAAGCTGCACTTACCACTTCTGCTCATTGGCTGGAACTTGCTACACGATCACACTTCGTTGCAAGAAAAGCTGGACCACCCTCTAACTGGATAACCACCCAGAAGAGAGGAGGAGGGGGCACAGCTACCACTTTCTGCTTTGACGTCTTCTGCTGGAACTTCAACCCACTTGCCCTTGCTCCAAAGGCTGCGTTCTGATGCTCACACTCTTCTGCTTGGAACTTTGATGTCACTGTGGTGCAAGGACCAGCCTCGTCAGCATCCTTCAGGGGCCCACTAGACACGCAGACTCTCAGTTGTCTCAACAGACCTGATGAATCCGCATCTGACTTTTCAAGATCTTCCACGGGCGGGACAGAGACTACTTCTCTGTGGTCCGTACTTTGAATTGCACTTTCACGTGCACAGAAATCACTGGAAGATCTTGTCAAAATGCAGATTTTGATTCAGGAGAACTGAGGCAGAAGCTGAAATTTTGCCTTTGCAGCAAACTCCCAGGCAGCACTGATGCCGCTGGCCCACAAGCCAAACTTTGAGTCGCAAGGGTCTAGGGTCTTCCTGGGCCTGGACGGAGCAGCTTGGTTGCTGTGGCAGAGTCTCAGGGCTGTCGTGACCAGTAGCTGCAAGCTGAGTGGCTCATGGTTCCGGAGGCCCAAAGTTCAACCGCAGGGTGTCAGCAGGCCTATGCTTTCTTTGAAGGCTGCAGGGGGAGTCTGATCCATACCCGTCTCCAGCTCCCAGGCCTGCCGCCACCCTGGGCATGCCTCACTGGTAGACACACCATTCCAGTCTCTGCCTTGTTGCACTCGGTGTTCTCCATGTGCCTGTGCCGCTTCATCTCTTTTTTTTTTTAAAAAAGATTTATATATTTATGCATACAAGAACTGGGGTACAGGCCAGAGGTGCGGGGAGTGAGAGGATTCACCAGAGAGAGTGGGGAGCAGAACAGGCAGATCTACTGACATACACTGCTGAGGGGAGCAGCGGGCGAGACAGGAGAGGTCTGCTCGCCCTGTGGGTCACCTGCCTGGCCCGGCCAGGGATCGAACTCGTGGCTGGTAATACCTTGATAGCTCTGTCTTTAACCCCTGCGCCACCAGGGAGGCCCCTCCCCCTCTTTTTATAAGAACACCAATCATATAAGATTCAGGGACCACCCTACTCCAGCATGATCTCAACTTATACCTTGGTTCTATCTACAAAAACCCTTTTTTGAAATAAACTTACATTCCCAGGGCCAGAGGATTTCAACATTATCTTTTTGTTGGAGACAATTCAAACCACAACAATCGCCTTCACCTCAGATGTTGGCTTCCCTTGCAGCCTCGGCCTGGTGCTCTAATCTCTGCTCTTCCTTCTACACCGCCAGGTCCGGATAAGTGTGTTGATGCCACCATGTGCCCAGCTTATGCGACCTGCACCAACACCCTGGACAGTTACTATTGTTCTTGCAAATCAGGCTTTCAGTCTAGCAACGGACTGCAGAGATTCAAGGGCCCAGGCGTGGAATGCAAAGGTGAGCTCGCACCTCCTCGAACCCTCTGGCCCTTGGCAGGAAAATCAGGTGGAAGCTGACTGGGTAGCAGGTGCCGTTGTTTCCCACCCTCTCCCTCTCCAGCATTATATCCTTGCTTCCTTATTCCCTCCCTCCTCTCCTTCCTCTCCCCTAGCTCCCCCCTCCACCCCCCTCCACCGGAGCTGTGGGGAGAGGGCTCAGTCACGTGCCCGGTGAACTGCATTCTCACTGCAGGTGAGGTTTCCTCACAGAAGGGCTGCCAGTTCCAAGAATGATCATCTCAAGAGAACCAGGTGGAAGCGCAGGACATTTTTGTGGCCAGCCTGGTATTTTGAGGACCTGGTGTCACTTCCACCACAGTCACTGCGTGCTCAGACCCCGCCCCTCGGGGGAGGGAGGGCAACACTCACATGGAATTGCTCAGCCGTCTTGGGAAAATACACCCTGCCACACAAGAAAAATTTGTAATTCAGACTCTTTCTCTGGCTAGATATTGATGAGTGTTCTCAAAGTCCGCCCAAGTGTGGTGCTCACGCCATCTGCACAAACCTGCGGGGAAGATACGGATGCAGCTGTTTGCCGGGTTTCTCTTCCCCCACTGGGAATGACTGGACCCCTGAAAATTCAGGCCCTTTCACCTGCACAGGTAGTGCTCTCGGGGTTTTGGTGGATGGCTGCCACCAGGTGCACACGTGTGTTTTCAAACTCAGGCACCCATTTTGTTTTGATCCGTACTCTCTCCTTTGTTCCTCAGATGACGACGAATGCCTCAATGATGGGGTCTGTCCAGAGCATTCTAAGTGCACCAACCTCTTGGGAAACTACACGTGCAGCTGCTTGGCTGGATTCATCTCTCGCAATTCCATCTGTGAAGGTGCACGTCACTTTCTTTTCTTTGTGTACCTACTTATCATCTCATTTGATGATCCTATGAGGTAGCGATTATGATCCTCATTTTCAGGATGAAAAAGTTGGGGCTCAGATGAGCAGTGGGCCAGGAAGTTCTTGAGTTCTGTCCCTAGAGTGATTTTTTGCCCAGGGAATATTTGCACTCTCTGGAGGTTTTTTTTTAATCTTCAAGGATGGTGAGGCGGGGGGTTGTGTATACTACTGTCATCTAGTGGGTAGAGGCCAGAGATGCCCAGAACATTCTCACAACCAAGAATGATCTGGTTCCAAATAGCAATAGTGCTGAGGTAAAGAAACCCTCTTCTAAGGGGATCCCAAACCCAACTGCAGAACTTTTTCCTAAAAGGTAGTATTTCAATTAAGACCCATGAGGCATCCTTGAACCTCCCTCCTCTGCATATCAAGTCAGCCATCTTGTCTTGGGAAATATACTAAATACTAAATGTCCATCTTCACTGTCCTTTTTTTAAAATATATTTTTAAAGATTTATTTATTTATGCATACAAGAACTGGGGTGCAGGCCAGAGGTGCGGGGGTGAGAGGATTCACCAGAGACAGAGCGGGGAACAGAACAGGCAGACTGACTGAAATACACTGCTGAGGGGAGCAGTGGGGAGACTGGAAAGGTCTGCTGAGCCGTGTGGGTAGCTCCTTGGCTGGGGATCGAACTTGTTCTGCAGGGGCTGTGGATAGCTTCATAGTGCTGCGTTTTAGCCCTTTGTGCCATCAGGGAGGCTCCATCTTCACCGTCCTTGGTGGAGATTTCATCATTACAGCAGCAGTCTCTCTGTCAGTCTCTCCCTTCCTCTCGTCTTGTCCTCTCGTTTCCATCCTCCACACCATGTCAGAATGTTCTTACCAATACATAAGAACTCCATCTCCCTGGGTCTGGGCCAGCGCTTTTTTGCTCCAATTTCATTGATAGGAAGTGACCCCATCAAGCAAGACAGGGATCGATCAAAGCCCTCATCACACCCCTCTTGGGTTCGAGTCAGACACATGTGAAGTCAATTGGATTTTTCCAATTCATTTGTTCCAGAAACTCGAGTCTTTGTGGTCCCAGTTCTGTCTGCATGAACACCCCGGGAGAATACAAGTGTTCCTGCCTGCCTGGGTTCTATAACAAATCACCCTAAAAATCGGTGGCTAAAAGCAACCATCATCTGTTTAGTTCTCAAGTCCCCGTATTGGCATTTTAGGTTGACTCTGTGGATCAGTTCTTTGGGTCTCATTTGGGCTTGTCCATGAATCTGTGGTCAGCGCAGGTCAGCTTTGCTGAGATTAGATGGATACCCTCACATGCGTGGGGTTCATGTGGGAGGGTCTGTCTTTCTTCCATGTGTCTTTCATTTGTCATTGGGCTGATCTGGGGCTTGAATAAGGCAGAGGCCAAGAGGCCGAAGAATGAGTGGAAGCAAATTGATCTGTAGAAGTCTAAGTTGGGACCTGGCACAAATCACTTCTGCTACATTCCATTGACCAACTCAATCCATAAGACCAGCTGGATTCTACACCTGAAAGACAGGAGTGACAAAGTCTTGTTGTGCTACACAATCTACATCCCAAGGTGTGGATTCAGGGAAGAATAAAAGTCTATGGTTATTTCTGCAATCTATTTCTGCAATCTATGTTTTGAAGTTACTTGCCATCCTTTTGCTTATATACCATTGGCCAGAATTTAATTTCATGACCTTGCCTCACTGTAAGGGAGGTTAGGAGAACACGGGTATTAGGAAGCTTCAACATTGTGTGCCACAAGTTAAGGACAGGTAGAGCAAACCTGTTTGCAGTATCCTGTCCTCTCCTCAGCAGACTTAACCTGGGCTTTCTCTCCCATTCACCAGATGTGGATGAATGTGCCCAGCCTGACACTTGCCCGGATAATGCAACTTGCCACAACAGTATTGGAAGCTACTCTTGTACCTGTAACTCAGGATTTGAATCCAGCAGTGGAAACATGAATTTCCAGGGCCCAGCAGAGACATGTGAAGGTAGATGGAAGGGTTTGTTGGGGAATCAGGTCCAAGCCTGCTTGCAAAGACAGCTGTGGTGGGGGCACTGGGTGGGTCTCAGCTGAATTCAAGTTCATTTGCAAAGCTGAAGCCAATAATCATGAACGATGAAGGGGCTCGATGCAAGAGATGAGGTAAAGAAGCTTCTCTGATATTAGACATTTGGGGTCTTGTATGCTCCAATGAGGAGTTCAGATTTTATCCTGAGCCACGGGGAGTCTCATCAGAAGATTTGTATGAGTCATAAACATGCCTTAGCTGTTTCCTTTCCATATATGATGAAAATGTGCATCTGAAGGTAAGTTTGGAGTCAAGGAAACCCACTGACTTCCTCACTGGCGAGGCTGTGAGTTGCTGCTATAGTCTCAGCATCATTCCTCTTGCTGACTTAGATGAGTTTTCTGTTAGATGTGGATGAATGTTCCAGAAACTCAAGTCTTTGTGGTCCCAATTCTGTCTGCACGAACACCCCGGGAGAATACAAGTGTTCCTGCCTGCCTGGGTTCTATTCGCCTGACATTTGGACCCTTGGAAAACCAGAGGCTTTAAAATGCACAGGTAATTCTCCCAGTGATATTGAAGAATTTCTCAATGGTAATCAAGCTACCCTGCAATGTAGTGGTTTATAGCAACAACCATTTGTTCTTGCTCATGATTTTATGGGTTGATCACATGGTTTTTCTGGGGCACCAGAATGACTGTCATGTCCAAAATGCTTCTCGCTTACTTGGCTGGTAGCTGTCCCTGGTCTCTGGCTGGGAGTTCAGTTTTCTTCATGGATCTTTCTTCATGTCTGCCTTAACTTCCACTCTGCATGACAAATGGTTTCCAAGAAGGAAAGTTCCAAGAGAAAGGAAGCATAAACTTGCAGTCCTTATAAGACTTGAACTTGGAAGTCCCAAAATATTCTACCACATTCTAATGGTCACAATTCCAGCCTAGATGCAAAGGAAGGGGAAATGAACCCTCTAGCTTACTGGAGAAGCAATAACAGAAACTGAAAACCATCCCCTAATCCAGCTCCACATGCAAAATAATTCTAGCTGTGCTGTCTCCAAGAGAGCACATGTAGTTGATGCTTTCTGCAAGTGGGTAAGAAAAGCACATATTGGTCAGAGATGTTTTCTATGACACAAAGAAAAAAACTACTTCCCCACACCTTCCAACCATGAGACATTCTCCTGTCATTTGAGGCCCCAGATTAGTATACATTCATATCACAAGGACTTCTCCCAACTCTCTGTGGTATTACCCAGAGAAAATGCCTTATGTCCTCATAAGCTGCTAGTGGATGCTGCTTATTTATTTTTCATGGTTTATGAATTGACACAGAAATATAGAAGGTTTTGTCCTTACCTCCTTACTAATTCTTTTTTCCCAGGAAATTCCAGTCCCTATATCTTCTGTGTCTCAGAGACCCTGAGAGAGATCAGTAGCTCTGTGTTCCTGTGTGACATGACATCATGCTGTTTTGACTAGGCCAGGATTTCTTAACTTTGAAACTATTGATATTTTGGCCTGGATAGTTCTATGTTGAGGGGTGCTGTCTGATACATTGTAGGATGCTTGCCAACATCTTTGATCTTCTACCCATCGGATCTCAGTGACAACCAAAAATCTCTCTAGGCATTGTCCAATGCCCTGTAGAAAGCAAGTTACCCTCCATGGAGAACCACCACTAACAGTTGAAATGTCTAACTCTTACAACAGTCAATGTAGATATACCTGGCTAGAGGGCAATTTTCTTCCATTTAGTGGTAGAAGGATCCAGTCTCCTTGCACCTGTTAGTTTTTCTATCCCTTAGAATCTTGAAATCCTGGATTCTAGCCAGTGGCATGGAAAGAGAGAAGGTACCCCACTTCTTAACTACCGTGGCCCGGAGCTGACTTAGGTCATATCCTCTCATATCCCATGAGTGGAAACTAGTCACATGGCCCACATGGATGAGGAAACTAGTCACATGGCCCACATGGATGAGGAGAGTTCATGCTACCTGATTGCAGAGGGTTCTGGGAAATGTGGTTCCTGGTTGCTGAGTGTTCTGGGAAACATGATCCTTAGTTGGGCATTTTTAGTGACAACTCCATGCTCTGTCTCTACACCATAGATATTGATGAATGCCTTCATACGTGCCTTTTCAATGCAACATGCACCAACACTCCTGGGAGCTACTTTTGCACCTGTCACCCTGGCTTTACCCCAAGCAATGGACAATTGACCCTGACAGGCCAAGAAGTGGAATGCAGAGGTAAACAGAGGTTTTGCTGGATATCTCTGGAAAGAAGTATCTCCTTTTTACTCTGGTTGCTTGATATGCTTGTGTTCTTTGCAGATGTTGATGAGTGCCTCCAAGATCCATCACCCTGTGGTCCAAATTCTGTCTGTAGCAATACCCCGGGCTCGTACACCTGTGGCTGCATTGTGGGCTTTTATCCCAATCTGGAAGGCTCCTGGGAATATGGCAACTTCAGCTGCAAAAGTAATGATCTCCTTGTGTGTCTTGGCACACAAGGGCAATTGTTTATCTAAATCTGTGTCTTGCTTTTGTTTTAAAATCTTTACTGACCAACTTCTGGGTCCTTCTCTTACTTTTATCTCATTGACATATTCTTCCTTTTTTCAGTCATCTGCTTGCTCATTCATTAATTCACTCCATAAATTATTTTAGAGCATTAATCAATAAAAACAAATCCACTGATTAATTAAATGTTGATAAATAAAAACCAATCAATTGATTTATTAAATAGCCAATTAATGGAAATAACCAATTAAAATGAATTAATTAGTTAAAAGTAATTGACTAGGCAAGTCCTTGCACTTGATACCGAGGATTCAGTCCTGAATGTGATCGACATATTAGCCCTCATGTAGCTCATAGTCTAGGGAAGGAGGCAGAGAAAACACATGTAATTATTTAATAGCCACAATAAATGCAACAGTTGAAAAATCACAGTGCACTCTTGAGTGACTAATATGATATTAAATATACTCCAAGAAACTGACATTTAAGCTGAAACTTGAATGAAAAACAGGAATGACCCAGGTGAAGAGTGGAGATCAGTGTCACAGGCTACAGCGTGTGCAGAGGCCCTGAGACTAACACAGGGTGAAGGCAGAGGGAAATAGCATTAGCTGCATCTGAGGAGGTGGGCAGAGGTAAGATTTTGCAGGATCTTTTGTCCTATGTAAAGATTTTCAAATTCTTTTTGCCAAGAATAGCAGGGAACCATGAAAGATTTATTTTTTTTTACTTATGGATTATTTAGTACATTAAAAAGAAGGTAACTTAGATGGAAGCCATGGAGTATAATAATAAAATGAATATAGGTGAAGCCCTTGCCAACTTTAGAACTGGAATGCCATTAATGCCTTTGCATTTCCTGCATGTATCTTTCCCATTCTATCTCCCTGTCTCCCCACTAGGGAAATCATTTAGAATTTTGTGCTTATAATTCCCTTAAAAAAAAATTTCCCTGCCCCACCATGTTTGATATTCCTTGACAATAAACTGTCTAGTTTTGTTGGCTTTGGAACTTTATAAAAATGGTATCATATTATGTACAGTCTTTTCTGACCTGCTCTTTTTTTTTCTTAATAAATCACACTTCTCAGAGCCCCTGATAGAGTGTACAGCTGTAGGTTTTTCATTTTCTATGTTGTGTAATATGGTTTTGGGTGAAATTTAAGCAGGGGGTGATGAAATCAGGCCTGCCTTCTGACATATCTTGCTGTGGTTAAAATTTGATGTGGTTGCTTTTGTTTTTTTTCCTAGAGATTCCCTTCAAGTGCAAAGAAGATGTGCTACCTGACAATGAGCGGGTCCAGCTATGCCAAGTGGGAGCAGCGGTGGAGTCCAAACATGTAAATATTTTTGAAGGTTCCTAGCTTGGGAGGTTTTCCCAGAAGTCTCTTATGTAGAGTGCTGCTTTGCAACTTTAACAAAGGCAGAAATAAGAGTGGCCTACACCAGACAGCAGCTTACGTCTCCCTTTGTATTCATCTGAGTGTCAGCTTTAAGAGCTAATGTGGTGGCTCCATAATGCTTGACCATTATCAACACAAGACTCCCACATGGCCTAAGATGATTGCTGCAGACCCTGCCATCATCTGCATTACAGCTGATGGGGACAGGGAGTGGGGAGAGGGTAAGTGAAAGACATGGTTTTCCTTTCAAGACCAAGGATCACTTCGACTCACTCCTCATTGTCCAGAAATTAGCCATGTGGTCATACCTAGCCAAATGGAAAGCAGGAAAAGAGGACATTTGTTTATCTAAAACTTGGGCATTCTTTTACTGAAAGGAGAAAGGATGTTGGTGTTGCATCACTGGTGAAGGTGCTGGGGCTACACCTGTGTGAAATTGGGTGGGTGACACATAGTCCCCAGGTCAGGTAAAGAGGAATTCCATGTCCTTATTGTGTAATGAAGTCATGCCAGTGAGTAACAATTCCGTACGACGCTTCAGGATGGATGTCATTATTTTATGATTATTATTATTTATTTATTTTATGTATACAAGAACTGGGGCACAGGCCAGAGGTTCAGGGGGTGAGGGGATTCATCAGAGACAGAGTGGGGAGCAGAACAGGTGGATCTACTGAAATATACTGCTGAGGGGAGCAGCAGGTGAGACAGGAGAGGTCTGCTGCACCATGTAGGTTACCTCCCTGGCTGGGGATCAAAGTCAGGCCATAGCAGTGATAGCCCTGAGACTTAACCACTAGGCTATCAGGGAGGCCCTATGTCATTATTTTAAATATGAGCTTGTAAATTAACTATGGAATTCTTATGTACTTTTACCTCTGTGTTGTTTAAATTGTGGTGAAATACAGAGTTGCACAATTTTAACCATTTTAAAAGTATACAGTTCAGTGGCATGTGGTACAGTCACAATGGTATACAACCGGCTCCTCAAATCTACCTCTTTTGTTAAAAATCAACTTGAAAGGAAACATTGTACTCATACACCTTTGCCCCCATACCCATTACTTTCTGTGTCTATACATTTGCCTGTTTTCGATATTTCATATAAATGTACTCACACAGCATGCCCTCACTGAGCCTTACATTTTCAAGGTTCAGCCATATTATAGTATAGGTAAGTGGCTCACTCCTTTTTGGTGACTGTATAATATTCCATTTGGACCTCTTTTTTTTTTTTTTTTCAGATTGCCATGTCTTTTTACTTCACTAAATAGTTGTGCTGTAGTTCCAATTTGATCAAATGGTGATTTTTTTATTTCCCTGAGAACACATTATGTCTCAGGAATTCAGGTTTATCCCCAATGGAGTGGTTGATGGCTAAGTTTAGGGAATGGATTGATCAATATTCACTCACAAATGTTGTTCCCTTGGGGGCACAGGTTTCCTTTTGTGAGCTAATAAACACCACTTTCAATGTTCTGGATGAAACCTGTGAAAATAGAACCATCGTTTCTCTGAAGGTAATGATAAAGTCTTTGTGATTGTGTTTTAAGTTTTGAACATCTTGGGGCAGAAATTCCTCTTTATAATTGGTGGGTTTTGAGTTACTGGTAAATTTATTTTGTAATGTGTGGAAACTAATCTTTATAATTAATGGGTTGTGAGTTAATGTTTAATCTATTATAGTAAAGTTTTACAAATTAATGCACAGTGAAATCATGCTTTTCTGTATAGTTCTATGAGTAAACCACCTGAGTGGGTTTACGTCAGGATACAAAACAGTTCCATTTCTCCCCCCAATTCCTTTATTCCTTTTTTTTTTAAGATTAATTTATTCATTTACACAAGAACCGGGGTACAGGTCAGATGTGTGGGAGGGTGAGAGGATTCACCAGAGACAGAGTGGGGAGCAGAACAGGCAGATTGACTGAAATACACTGCTGAGGGGAGCAGGGGGCGAGACAGGAGAGGTCTGCAGCACCATGTGGGACCCTTCCCAGCTAGCTGGGATTGAACCGGCGCTACAGAGGCTGCGGATAGCTTCACAATGAGGCTCTCAACCGTCTGCGCCAGCAGGGGAGGCCCTACTTTATGATACTCCCTCTATCACTAGTCTCTATAAATTCCTGATCTGCTCTCTGTCATTGTAGTTTTATCTTTTCAAGAATGCTGTATTAACGGAATCACACGTTATGTGGTCTCTGAAGCCATTTTTTTTTCTTTTTTTTACTCAGCATAATGCCTTTGAGATTCACCAATGTTCTGTTTATCAATAGTGCAGTTCCCCTTTTATTTTCTGGTAAGCATTAGTGACATTCAGTACATTCACAGTTGTGCAACTATCACCGCTATCTAGTTTCAGCATGTTTTCACTGCCCCAAAGGGGATTTCCAGATTCATTAAGCAGTCACTTGCTCCTATTTCTTCCAGTGCCCGGCAAGTACTAATAGGCTTTGGCTCTGTTGGTTTCACTTCCTGGATATTTTATGTAAATAGATCATACTCCGTGTGCTGTTTTGTGTCTGTTTCTCTCACTGAGCATCACGTTTTCAAGATTCATCCATGTTGTATGTAGTATGTGTCAGTGCTTCATCTTTTTTATGTCTGAGTAATATTCCATTGTGTGGATGAGCCACATTTGTTTATTCATCACTTTTGAAAGACATTTAAATTGTTTCCTCCACCACCCTAGTCTTTGGTGATTATCAATAGAGCTGCTATGAACATTCATTTGCGTGGGTGTGTATATATGTGTGCACCTGAATTTTCGTTCATCTTGCGTAAATACAGTGATACATTGGCCAACATATGGGAGATGCATTCTGAGAAATGCATTGCTTAACATCATAGAGTTTAATTACACAAAATTAGCAGACTTAGACGATCTGGTATGGCTCATTGATGGAGCACAAGAGTATTAACATTAATATTATGATTATTATAAATTATTTTCTTTCCTTAACGTTATTCTTTAGACATAATCAATGTTGACATTTAGAGGTGCATCTTTTCATATTTTTTACTTTTGGTGAATGCATGTATAACACACACACACACACACACACACACACACACATTGAATTCATTTATTGGGCACATCCAATGAGAGATTAAGAGAAGTGTTTAGGATTCCTTTAGTGATGCTGAACTGTCAAGTTTCAAACCTTGGTTTTGTTTTAGTTCCCCATCCCAAAACATCAATAATAACAACCTCTACTTTATTGATCTCTTCAAATTAAATGAACATATATAAAACAGTTAAAATAATTCCTGGCTCAAAATCAGTGTTATTTTTATTTTTTTGTGGGCCAGAAACATTAATACCCTAAATATAAAATTTCAAATCAAAGTAGTGGTTTTTAAACTAAATGAGCTAATATGTACATGTTATTCTCTAATTTGTTTTGTGTAACAATAACTTGTAGACCCTTTGCTTGATAACATCATTTTTAAGTAGCTGTCTATGACCCCATGACCCCACTTATTTAACCAATCTTCTAGACATTTAGACTTCTTGCTACCGTAAGTCATACAGAAATGGACATGATTGCACAAAATCCTTGCATAATTTTAAATTATTTCTGGAAGGACTAATTTCAGAAAGGAAAATCGCTGAGTCAAAGGGCATGGGGAATTTATGCTACTAGAAATGTTGACTTATTACACACCATAAAGGTGACCCCAATTTTCATTCCAATCTGAATCAGGAAAAGAAGGCTCAATGGATGCCCTTTTAGTTATTTCATTGGTGTAAACTGTCAATCTCTATCTCATTTTACTGAAGAAATACTGCCTTAGAAAATTTTATAATTTCAGGTGTGCATCAATATAAATAGACATATGAATGTCCTCCATTCAGTTTACCACTAAAAGACCAATTCTATCCTTCACGGAATAACTGACCCTTTATAACCAATCTACTCACTTCTCTTTCCCCTTCCCTTCTGGTAACCACTAATTTGGTCTTACAGTCTAAAAGTTTATTTTTGTTTTATTTAGTTCATTCGTTTAGTTTCTCTGTATGACACGTGTGTGAAGTCATATGGTGCTCGTTTCTGTCTACCTTATTTCACTAAGAGTAATAATCTTAGGTCCATCCATGTTTTTGCAAGTGGCAGGATTTCCTCTGCTTGTTTTTATAGCTAAATGGTATTCCACTGTGTATATATACCACATCTTTATCTAACCCTCAGTTGATGGGAACTTAGGTTGTTTCCAACTCTTGACATATATCACTTTAAAATAATGTTTTTATATCTTTCATCAACCCTTATGTTGATGGAGTGAGAGGACAGCTGCTATTTTATTGGAGAAAGATGGGAGGAGGTGGGGAGAGAGATAGAGATAGAGAGAGCACATACCTCTTCCTTGCAGAGATCAGCTGAGAAATTTGCCTCTGTGCTTGAACAAACATCCACATGGTCTAATTTCACCAAAGAAGAGACATCTGCCCTGGCCACAGTCTTACTGGAGAGTGTGGAAAGCACCACGTTGGCAGCTTTTCTGAAACGCCCAGCAAATGCAAGCCAAACTATTCAGCTGGAATACTTAGGTAGGCTATATCCTTCCTAGCTAGGTCATACCTGGGTTTTGATCTCGAGGGGTGACTTTGGAAATGTAATTCTGCATGGTTTTCCCACATCTCCCATTTATTGAATGCCTGGATTAAGAGTACATTGCCAGATATTATTCAGAGTGTGTCATTAATTCATTCAACAAATAATTTCTGCATGCCTATTGTGTGCCAGTTGTTAAAGTACAATAGCCATTTGCTATATTCAAATATTTCTAGATTTCTCTTTAGGGTCCATGGCAAGAGATTGTGCTTCCTGGCTTGATTCTGTGGCTAGTTCAGGTCAATGAATTTTGTGAGTCCTTCCAGAGCTCTATTTTCCTATGCCATGACTGGCAATGTTTCAGAATAGTTTCTCCACGTCTGCAGGTCCCAGGATCAGGGTAACACAGTACATGGCCCCAAGTCAATGCAATAATGGGAAAGAAATACTTTTTATCTCTAATTCACTAAATTTTGGGTTTGTTTTGTTACTGTCATGTGACCGATCCTCTCCTAATACAACTATGGCCTATCACCTTGTTATCCTTACCACTTGATAGGTAATTGTCTTGGAATAATGGGTCCTATGGACCTTTTACAGCAGCACCCTGCTTGGGGTACTAACGCTAATACAAATCACATAACCCTAGGAAGTTTCATCCTAATGTGTACCTAGGAGGAACTGCTGACAATAGTGAACAAGACTTATCTCTATGAATTTTATATTTTATATTGAATCAAACAGCAGACATCTGGTATACCAGATAGAGCTAGAACTATTAAAAAAATACAGCAGGGTAAAGAGGCTATGAAGGGTCAGAAATAAGGTAGAGCATTGCTATTTTAAATATTGTAGTTAGCAAAGTTTCACTGGGGCAGGGACGTGATGAAAGGGAGTTCTGTAACCATCTGTAGAAAGAGTACAAGAGTACTTGGCAAGTTCAAGGAACAAAGAGGAGTCCAGTGTGGTTGAAATGGAGTAGAAGGTGATAAAAGAGTAAAACCCCTTAAGGAGAACAGGTCATAATGGAAAGGGGAGGCAGATTTTGTATAATCGTAGGCATTTAGGATTTTATTTGAAGTAAGATGGAGGGATATTGGAGAGTTTGAAAAAGGGCATCACATCTGTCCAGGTGAGAAATCTAGGATTCAGAGGGGTTAGGTTTTGGCAAAGTTTACATAGCTGTGGAATGGCAAAACTGTGCCTCCTAGTTAGCTCCATATAACTGTGGAACTGAAGCCTTTGCCCATTATGCTGGGCTTGCCCTAGTCCCTTACTATTTCCTTTGACTTTGGAAAGCTCATCTAAATTTGAAGCAGTAGAAGCTCATGACTCTGTCATCTCCCATCGCAGTTGAGTTCAACCCCATCTTTTTCTGATGCACTCCCCAAAGTGTAAGTGCTCACTCCTAAAGTGCCAATTAGGTTTCTCATTTGTTTGATGCTACCATCATCATTAAGGGGCTTAAGATTTTTTTCCATGATGAACTGAATTTTCCATTCTTCAATTGCAACTAGGGGATATACCTTTATTGGACAGAAACTAAATTCAGGACCCACTTTCTGTGTTAGGTCAAGCAAACACTGCCTTTTGCCTTTCAGATATTGAGAGCAAAGTTATCAATGAAGAGTGCACTGAAGATCATGTAACTTTTAACTTTAAAGCCAAAGGGAATGAGATGAAGATTAGGTGTTCCACAATTGAGGAATCTGGATCTGCAGGTACAGATCTGCTCTTGAGAATTAAGAAGAGAGGCTATGGTGCATTAGATCAGCAAATATTTGTTGATCACCTCTTAGGTACCAAAGCCTGTGCCAGATGTTGAGGGATTCAATGATGGCAGAAATAGTCCTTACTCCCAGGGAGTTTTCCATGTGCTGTGGAAGTCAGATCTTATACTTGACTTTAGCCAAAAGACTAAGAAGAGTAGAAGTCAGATATTATATAGGTAATCTCAAAATATTGAGTATTGAGTCCTTCACTATCTAATATGGCAGCAACTGGCCACATTTGGCCATTGAAGACTTGAAATGTGACTAAACTGTAAAGGTAAAATATATACCATATTTCAAAGTCTTGGTATAAAGAAAAAGACAGAAATAAAATATCTCATTAATAACTTTATGTTGATGACATGTTGAAATGATGTTTTTGCGTGCATTGAGTTAATACATTATTAAAATCAATTTGACTTGATTTTGACTTTTCTAAAATGTAGGTACTAGAAAATTTAAATGTACATATGTGGCTCATACTGTATTTCTAGAGGACAGTGCTAATCTGTATGAAAGCTTGGCAAACTTTTCCTGTAAAGAGCTGGCTAGTAAATATTTTAGGCCAATAGAATCTGTGCCATAATTCAATTCTACCATTCTAGTGCAAGAGCATTCATAGCCAACATGTCATGAGTATGTGTGGCTGAGTTACATGAAATTTTTGTACACAAAAAAGTAGGCAGTGACTATGTTTGTTCTCTCCTGATTTATGTGCTCTCTGGAGGGCCCAAAAAGTAAGCCTAGGAAAGGAGAGCACCAACATTGAGAGGAAAATCCACCAAAGAGACTAAACAAATATAACCATAAATTTGGGGAGGAACTTTGTTTTCTACTGCTGAGTTGAATTGTCCTTCAAAAATGTAGCCTATATTTCTCCAGTTGGAGAGATCAAATGAGAAGTCAGTGAGAATCACTGACCTGGAAGTCCACCTGTATCCCACTCCTCAGAGCAGGCCAGAGAAGATGCAGAAATGCACGTGGTATTAGTGGGTGTATGTGGGGTCATTTATAATAACTACCGAACTGAGCAAATGATTGTATTTTTTCCACTTGGGGAACTCGCAGGGATCACTGGGGTGGCTTTTATCTCCTTTGCTGGCTTGGAGTCTGTTTTAAATGAGAGCTTCTTCCAACACTCCCGACCCTCCTTGGGCAAGAGAAAGCTGAAGATGAACTCTCGCATTGCTGGGGGGATCATGACGGGGGAGAAGAAAGATGGCTTCTCTCATCCAGTCATCTACACCATGGAGAACACTGAGGTTTGTGAAGAAGTCTCTACGGAGCTCCCCTTTTACTTGTTGGGAACCTCCTCTATTCCCCAGTGGGCTTAACTCTCATTTTTTATAGGGATCCATTAAGGCAGCAAGTTTCCATAATATCCCCAACTCAAACTAATCCTCCAAATAGACCTCTTGAGGGAATGATATCCTTGGGGACAGGGAACATGTCTATTTTACTTCCTGGCAGCTCCCATAGATAACACATATCAAGCATGCTCTAGGTGCTCAATAAAACATATTGAATGCATGGGTGATAAGTGAATGAGGGACTTAAGGATTTGATGAAAGGAGTTTTCCTCTAGCAACCAGAGGCAGGTTGCCCCACAAGCCCAAGCTATCACTATATTGAAATATCAACATTTTTTTTTCCATTCCAGAAAAACTATTCTGCATCATTTTGCTCCAGATGACTCTTGACATAGGTCACATGAATCCATTCAAGAGAGATGCTCAACCAAAAAAAAAAAAAAAAATTAAAAACTGGGGAGGGAAGTAAAAAGGGTAGTAGCACAGATGGTTTGGTGGAGGGTGAGTGGAACTGTGCATAGACAGAGGTATAAAACATGTAACCCCTAAATTAAAATAATAAGTAGATTAACAATCAAAAAGGATTTTTGGGTCTTTCATTTTTTTCAGCCAAAGCAGGAGTTCGAGAAACCCATCTGCGTTTTCTGGAGCACAGATGCAGAGGGTGGAAGGTGGGTACCGTCTGGCTGTTCGATCCTTGAAGCTTCGGAGACACATACCGTCTGCAGCTGTAATCGGATGGCGAACCTGGCCATCATCATGGCTTCCAATGAGCTTACGGTCAGTACCGATGTTCTGCACTTGCTCCCAAATTCTATGGGAAAATGTTGAATAACAGCCCCTATGGGCCTCTCACGGTATTGGGTGCTGTGAGAGGGAGTCATAGACAGAGTGTGTGCCATGCTCTGCCCTTGGAGAATTCATGGTCTGGCTGGGAAACTCAAATTTCAAATGAATGACTCTAAGCAGGTGCCCACATTGCAATCACAGATGTCATTTGCAGAATACCTACCCTGTGTTGAACACTTTAAGTGACTTTAGACGCATTTTATATGGTGGGTGAGAGACTCAGTCGCTTGCCTAGTCACATGAAGCTAGTAATTGGTGGAGATGAGATTCAATCTGGCACAGTCTTGTTTCAAAGGTCTCTTTCCACTGAGCTGTACAAATGTTGCAAAAGATTGTGGTATAGGAATTCAAAGTATTTCAGTGAGACCTGGTGATAGATCAGGAAGGAAATGGAGTGTGTGAAGAGTCTTGGAGAGTGAACAGATTTGGTAGAGAGGAAAGGCATCATCATTTGGGCCATGGTGACTATCTTTGCCTCTCCTGCAGGCCTGTTAGTTTCAATTCCCTGCCAAGGAGGTCTTAAATGCTGTTTAGAACTTAAGAGAATGGGTTCCAGACCAAGACTGAGCTCACAAAATTTCTGGAAAGGATGGAAGCATTGAAGTCTTAGGGCTGTAATTGTGATTTTTGGTTTCAAGGTTACCCCTCTGCAACACAGAGGTCAGAAACAACTGCTGTCAGGTGGCCCTGCATCCAGGAAACTAAGACAAGCCAGTCGGCATGCAGTCCGCCCATCACTCACTCTTGCCTGTGAAAAGCTGGTGTCTGCTGCCTCTGTTCTGCCTTCCAAAACTTTCATTCATGCATCTTCTTGGAGAACCTAAATCACACCCAGGATCCTAGCACCAGAAGATTCTGGCAACTGTAGTTTGTAGCCGTGGAATGAGGCGTCACTGACATAAGAGAACTGGTCTCAGTTGAAATAGGTTGAGTAACTTGTCTGAGGAAGTGACTTGTTTGAGGAAGTGATTTCTCTTAAGTCCTAAGTCATATATTCCTCTGAACAGAGCAACGACTGGAATGGGCTCTGATAGAAGCTAATGGATGCCAAAGAGTGATGATGGACAGTATCTAGTTTACTCTGAGTATAAGAGGGTGAAAAGCACCACCTCACCATCCCCAGTTGTTTCTGCCCAAACCAGGAGTCTGTTGCGGGGGCAGGGAATATTGGTTCCTCTCTGAGTCTAACAGAGGATCTCTTTTTTGACAGATGGAATTCTCCTTGTTCATCATTAACTACGTGGGCATGATCATCTCTCTGGTGTGTCTCATCTTGGCCATCATCACCTTCCTTCTGTGTCGTGCCATTCGTAACCACAACACCTACCTCCACTTGCACCTCTGCATATGTCTCTTCTTGGCCAAGCTTCTCTTCCTGGCTGGTGTGGACAAGACTGACAACCAGGTCTCACATCCCTCGACTGCCCCCAGCTAGCCCCATCACCCCACCTCCCCCTGCTCATCCTTATCCACATTCCTCTATGCTAGTTCCCACCGCAGTACATTTGCACAAGCTGTGCCCTCTTTACATAGCACTCATCACCCAGATCCTCACCTGCTTGACTCCTTGTGATAGGTCTCAGTTTAAAATCACTTCCTTAATCACATTACATTTTATAGTGGCACCCTTTAAACGACTGGTTCTCACCTGAGATGAATCTGCCCTTGTTGGAGATACTTGATGTCTGGAGACATTATTGGTTGACTCCACTGGGAGGGGCATCTGGTGGCTGCTGTGAAACATCTCACCATGCATAGGCTAGCCCCCCACAACAGAAAGTAATCTGCCAATAGTGTTCCAAATGTCAATAAGTCTATCACTGAGAAAGTCTATATCTTATTGCTCTATTTTGCCTTCTTTCCCAGCACTTCTTTGAAATCCTGTTAATTATTTATTGTTTTACTTGTTGTATATCTACTTCTCCCACTTGACTTTGAGCCTCATGAGAGCAAGAACTTTTGGCAAGACCTTTGTCAACCAGTAGACTCTCAGGGTTTTCCCAAAAGGAACATTAATGACATTTTAGCCAGGATGCTCACCCGTGGTGCAGTCACCTCTCTCACTGAAGGATGTTTGGCTTCACAGACTTCTTGAGAACTAAATGCTAGTTGTGTGTCCTGTTGCCATCATTTCTCCAGAGTGGGCAACTCTTCTCTGTAAAAGAGGCACATATAACTGTTTTCAGCTGTGACATCCTGCAGTGTGACTAAACTCCTCTGTCTCAGTGTAAAAGCAGTTGTAGACACTGCATAAAAAGTTGTGGTCATGTGCCAGTGAAAGTCATTTACTAAACAACCAGCCAGCACAGGGGCTGTCTCTAGTGACCCATTCCCCACACCTTCAAACATCCTCTAAAGCAGAGTGACAGATGCTCCATTTCTCCCATGCTTCCCAGGAGACCTCAGTCCCTGGCAAAGTCAGGATGAGCAGTCATCCTACCTCCTGCGGTGAAGAACATCTCTGTGAATATGTGTGGAGTGAGTGAACAGGCCGTGTTTAGGGATCTCCAATTCAAGCAGACCCTCCCTGACCCTCTTCCCCTCAACCTGCTCTGTGGAAGGTAGGGTGGAGGGGGTTCTGAGTGGCATGTTCTTCTCCCCTTCAGATGATCTGTGCCCTCATTGCGGGATTTCTGCACTACCTTTTCCTCGCCTCCTTCTTCTGGATGCTGGTGGAAGCCGCGATGCTCTTCCTCATGGTCAGGAACTTGAAAGTGGTGAACTACTTCAACTCTCGCAGCATCAAGATGCTGTACCTCTGTGCCATTGGCTATGGGCTCCCGGCGCTGGTGGTGGTGATCTCCGCCAGTGTGCAGCCAACGGGCTATGGGATGCACAATCGGTGAGTGACACCCTTATCTCGCCCTGAAGACCCTGCTGCCAGGGTTTCTGGTGATAACCACATGGATAACAAGAAGAGTAGGAATAGTAGCAGTTGTTGCAACACCCACTTACTGAATCCTTACTGGTGGGCTCAGGACTGCTATGTACAGGAGTGCTCTGTGCAAATCCAAGAGAGATTGTTTGCACTAGTATAGGACATTACTACAAAAATTGCCAAGTCAGAATGGCAGTGACGTGAACAGTGGATTTGATTGTATGGTTTAAAAATCATGGACTCTAAAGCCATCTTGTTAGGGCTTGAATCATGGCTCCACTAATTTCTTTTTTTAAAAAAGATTTATTTATTTATGCATACAAGAACCAGGGTACATGCCAGAGATGGGGTGGGGGTGAGAGGATTCACTAGAGACAGAGCGGGGAACAGAAAAGGCAGATCTACTAAAATACATTGCTGAGGGGAGCAGCGGGCAAAACAGAAGAGGTCTGCTGCAGCATGTGGGTTGCTCCCTGGCTGGCCGGGGATTGAACTCGGTCTGCAAAGGTTGTGGATTGCTTCATAGTGCTCAACCCCTTGCGCCACCAGCGAGGCCCCTGGCTCCACTAATTTCTAACTGCCCTCTTGGGCAAGTGACTTAACCTTTAAATGCTTGCTCTGATCATCCATACACTGGGACTAATGACAATGTCTACTCACAGTGTTTTTGGGAGGTTTAAGTGAGTTATTATCTGCAAAACATTTAACAGTGTCTGGCACAGAGTAAAATGGTATCCTGATCATTATCATTCTTATAATCCTCACCATCATTATTAGCATTGTCTGTTTTCAAGTGAGGACTATTTATCATACGATTTCATGAAAGGTCATTTCAAGTAATATGTGGGAGCGTATGCATTTAAAAATATTTTTGTGTTTATTTTATAGGGCATTAGGAAAAAAACATTGCCAGCATGCCAAACTCATGCTTTCACAGACATGATTCCCTTTATATAAGTCAAAATAGTGAGTTAATTTTGAGAGAAAAATTAGGTGACAGTTAATAAGTAGTATGTGGATAGAGCAGACATGAGCTCACTGTGTTATTTCATTAATCCTATCACAGGCCCTTGAGAAACTGTTGTTATCTTAACTCACAGATGAGGAAATTGAGGCTCAAGGGATGAGAAGTCTTTCTCACCATCACATAGAGAGAAAGGGGCAGTGTAAGAACCTGCATCTGGGTCTTTCCAACGCCAGGGCCCCCTCTTGTCATCCTAGTGCTATAGGCATTTTGCTGAATTGTGTTTGGGGGGGTTTAAATATCCAGGGTTCCTCCCTACTTGCTGATGGCTTATATTTCAGGCAAGGTCATGAAATAAGGTGGTGAGGAGAAGCAATTTATATTAAGTGATTACCCATCATAACCTAAATTCTGTACACTTTACAAACATATTACCTTTAGTATTTCTCGACAAAAATCCTGTGTTAGGATTAAGAATCTCATTGTGTACTTTAAAAATAGTGTCCCCTATATTTTGTTCAGTGCACAAACTGTGCTACTGACCCTGAGCCCAATAGTACATAAAATAACAGTTCAATAACTGGTAGCTATGGAGGAAAATGAAGGCTCAGTGCAGTTGCAGAACTGACCATGGTCACATAGCTAGTGTCTGAACTGAGATTGTAACCACATGACCAACGGGTACCCAGGGACCCTATTCTATTAAGGGAAAAGCCCCATTTTTCATGCTCCTTTCATCCTACCCTCCTTCTATTTTTCTTTCCATCCCCTCATGCATTCTTCCTTCCTTTCAGCAAATAACTATGGAATGCCTCATCCATGCCAGACTTGGCACCAAGTGGTGGGTATTTAGAGATGAACAAACCACTTATGCCCCTCATAGTCTGGGGGAAGGTGGACAATTTGCAAGTAAATAAACAACTGAACAAGATAATTTATGACTGATAGATGACATAAAAGCCAGCAAGCTCTGCTAGAGAAGGCGTTAGGAGTAGGTTTAGGATATTTAGCCAAGCACAGTCCGGAGGTGACATTTGAGCTGAGATTTGCCTGAGAGTGTGCCAGGGGAGAGCTCTGAAGGGAGAAGGCATAGGTTTGAGCTGAGAACAAGCTCATCCAGGAACATTTACCCAGGAAGAAGGTCTAAAAGGATTGTGTGGTCCATAGAAAACTGCAATGCCACCTGACTCATCATGAGGACACTTATTCCAGTCACTCAATGTTCTCCCCACTAGTGCATTTGTTGTGACTGAGACCTGAGTTAACTGTAGTTAACCTGAGTTAACTGTCAAGACTCTGAGATCAACATGGAGTTCCCCGTTTCTTTTCATAGCTGCTGGCTGAATACAGAGACGGGGTTCATCTGGAGTTTCCTGGGGCCAGTTTGCTCAATCATTGTGGTAAGCAAATTGCTTGGTGTCATGTGTTCTGGGGGAGGAGCAAGGGATACTGAGGGACCAGGAAGTGCCAGTGAAGACACAAAGCTGAGCTCACCTGCTCCTTTATTCTTTGCTCTGATCCTTTGATTCTTGAGATTTCCAAGTTAGGGTGTATACTGTCTTTGACTTGTAATTTTTTTTCAAGCCAACTTGCAAATCCCCCTTGGAGGCACCACAATTTATCCACCCTTTGTATTTCCAAAGGGATGGGTATATCATTCTCTTCTGACTGCGAATGCTAAATGAAAGAATAGGTGAGAAGAAATTAAGAGCATTTGGTGGGGGCAGAGGAAGAAGTGAGGTGAGAGAAGATGGTAGAATGGGGACAAAAGGAAGCTGGGAGAGAATTTTTTTCAGCTGAAGTATAATGGACAAATTGCAATTGTATATATTTAAGATGTAGGAATTGATGTTTTGATGTATATGGATGCTGTGAAATAATGGTCACCATCATCATAGTTTACAGCTCTCCCAAATGCCAAGTTTTGCCCTCTAGACTCCACTCACAAGGTGGTAGGGATCAAATCATGAGTGTGAGATGTTCAGTATAATGCCTGGCATTGGCCAGTGCTCAATAGATATTAGGTGTGAACAATAATGGGAAAATAATATTGCAGTGTTTTTCCTGCCCATTCTTAAATTTTCAAGAATATTTGGCCCTTCTGGAAAAGAAATATTGAATTTCATGCCCCTAGGCAATGGTTTTCAACTGGGACAATTTTGCCCCTTAAAGAAGGATATATTTTTGGTTGTTACAACCCTGAGGGAGTAATACTAGTATCTAAGTGGGTAGAGGCCAGGGAGACTGGCAAGCACCATACAATGCACAGGACAGCCCTCCACCCACCTACCCCTCCCTCACAAGAATGCTTTGGTTCCAAATGTCAATAGTGCCAATGTGAGAAACCCTTCCCTAAGAAAGCTTGCTTTAAGACCTCCCTGGTGGCGCAGGCGGTTGAGCGCAGCACTGTGAAGCTGTCCGCAGCCTCTGCAGTGCTGGTTCAATCCCCACCGGCCTCAGAGCAACCCACATGGAGAGCAGACCTATCCTGTCTTGCCTGCTGCTCCCCTCAGCAGTGTATTTCAGTCAGTCTGCCTGTTCTGCTCCCCGCTTTGTCTCTGGTGAATCCTCTTACCCTCCTGCGTATCTAGACTGTACCCCGCTTCTTGTATAAATAAAAATAAATCTAAAAAAAAAAAGAAAGCTTGCTTTAGAAAAGAATAAACCCTCCACTAAAGTTCACAGTGTATGTCCTAAGCCATGATCTTGATTAGAACTTTCTGGATTCATCCAGTGGACATTAATGAGGATCACCTAAAGCAAAATAAGCAGAGGCTATTTATTTGGAGATTGCTATAGTTAGGGAGTCAGAGCCTCCTTTTCACCTGCCTCTGTCTGAGACTCATAATCAGGCAGTGCATTTGTGACAGCAGGGCTGGACCTAGAGGGGATGGTGCTCAGTGAAATATGTCAGAAGGAGAAAGACATGTACCGGGTGGTGTCACCTATATGTGGAATATAGAGAAACCAAAGTAATAACAGACTAATAAAACCAAACGAATAACAGAACCTAGAAACCTGACTGTAGAGCTGAGGATACAAGATGGGGAGAGCAGGGTGGAGAGAGGGCCCAGTGGACCGTGGTGGAGGATGATGGGGCCTTGGCGGAGGGTGTGGTGTGGTAACACACATCTGAAGGGTGTGACCCTATACCTCTACATCATATACAGTGCTGAAACCCAGTGTTACCTCGATTAAAAACAAGACACAAAGGGAAAACAAGATCAGGCAGAGGAGTGGGAAAGATTTACAGCGGAAAGCAGGGAGGGCTTAGGCATTGTTGGCACAGGAGGGAAGACTACACTTGGACTGACTAGAAGCAGGCATTTGTGCTTTGTGATTGTGAGGTGCATCTTTTGCTGCTAAGTTGGAAGTGGGATCCAGAAATCAGGGAGACTGTCAGTTATCAATTAAAACCTGGTCTTTGGGGTTTGACTGCTGCAGGGATTGTTGCTTGGCTTTTTGGAATGTGGGTGAGTTGTTTTTATAGATGGTCTGGCCGGTGTCTGTCTGTGTATCCAGCCTCTCCATCCCTTGTGCTTGACTTCATAGGTCAATTTCTTCCTTTTAACTTGGACATTGTGGATCCTGAGGCAGAAACTTTCCAGCGTCAATGCTGAAGTCTCCACGCTCAAAGACACCAGGTGTGGGCCCTCCTTCCTTTCCTCTCTGCTTCCTTCTTTCTGCAAATGTTCCCGGAGAACCTTTTATATGCCTCATCTGTGCCCAGGACAAGGTAGCACAGCGTCTACATGGGAACTCAAACACCAGCTCTGCCACTTGCAAACTGTTGGCCTTAGGCAAACTCCTCTGAGACAGTTTTCTCTCTGTTGACAGGGGCTATTAATATTACCCATTTGATGTGGCTTATGAAGTATTTAGCACATTTGCTAAGAGGAGGGAGTGCTTCATATTGTAACTATTAATACATTTCTAAGTCTTCTCTGGCGCATACAAAACCAGAATTGCCCTTTCTATTTTATCTTTATAATTCTTTTTTTCTCTTAATAACATGAATATTTTTCTTTTTAATTAGAATTTATCAACAATGCTTTCCTTTTTATAACATTTCTTTATAAGAACACAATGCAGTTTATTCAAATTATTCCTTATTTATAGACATTTAAGTTGTTTCCAGTTTTTTATACTATTATAAGCAATATTGTCTTGAATACTTTTGTAGGTAAACCTTGTGCATCTCTATAATTATTTAATCACACTGGGAATGAAATTGCCTTAGTTAAAGGATAAGTAGGATTGTAACACTTTTAATATATTTTACAAGTTGTTTTTCAGAAAATTTGTTTCTAAGAGTGCTTTGGCAACCACTGCAATTTATCATTTTGTTGCATTGTTTTGCTGATTTAATGGGTGAAATATATTATCTACTTTAGTTTCATATATATATTATTTCATTTTACAGATGTGGGACTTTTTCATATTCTTATAGGCCATTTATATTTCTTGATTTTACCATTCAGCTAACGTTCATTTTTAAGAACCTACTAAAAACAGATATTTTCTAGGCTTTATTGTTAGTGACTTGATAATATTTTGCTTGTTGCCATGGTTGCAGCCCATCATCCAACCATCTTAAATAACTTTTCTAAAAATTATTCTTAAAAAGTTAATGCAAAAAGGTAAAGCTACATCAGCACATGCAATGGTCAGAAACATTAGGCAGTGAAAAAAGGAATACATGAAAAGTCATGGCCTCTCTCTTCTAAGACCTCCCAGATGCCCTGATTTATCCTACCCTGAGCAACCATTACCACTCAAGTGGAACTTCCTTCTAGAATATTTCATACCTATATCCACCTTCTTTATATAAATGATAGGAAACTGTCATATCCTCCTGTACTTCTTTCTGTATTGTATGTAGCACATTTCATATTCCTACTTAAGAATAAAAGCAATTAACAGAAATGCTTATTTTGTGCCAGACACTATTCTAAGTACCTTATGAGTCTTGCTATCTTGTTATTCAGACTAGACTAGATAATAAGAACGAACTTATGTTGTAGATATCAATCGTTGTCCCTACATCATGGCGAGGAAGCTGAGACCTGTGAAGCTGAGTTGCTAAGGCCACAGAGTTAGTGGATGGGCCAATAGGAAGTTTGGCCGAGATCCTGTACCTGTAACCCTCACTGTGTTGTCACGCGCCTCTCTTTCTAAAAAATGGTATTACAATCTCACAACTTTGTGCCCAGGTGTGTCTGTAGGTCAGTGTCATTCAAGGGCCTCTAGGATCCAGCTTCCCTGCATCTAGACTTGGAACTCCACCCCATATGTATTCCCACCCCAGGGTCAGCCTCACATCATTTTGGAAAGCACAGTCCATGAAGACAACAGCCACCTCCCAGAACCTTATCCTCTGCAAATCTTCTCTCCCAGGTTGCTGACATTCAAGGCCTTTGCCCAGCTTTTCATTTTGGGGTGCTCCTGGGTGCTGGGGATTTTCCAGATTGGACCAATAGCCAGTGTCATGGCATATCTGTTCACCATCATCAACAGCCTGCAGGGGGCCTTCATCTTCGTCATTCACTGTCTACTCAGCCGCCAGGTGTGTAGCTGCTGCCCTCCCTGTCTGCGACTCCCCATCCTTCAGGGAACTGTGCCTGGGCTGGGCCCAGATCCTTGCACTTAGGAGTGATTCATCTCCCCGTGGTGTGTCTCCACCTCCAGGTACGGGAAGAATACAAGAGGTGGTTTACCTGCATCGCCAAACCCAGCTCCCAGTCCCAGACCTCGGGGGTCTTATTATCATCCGTTCCCTCCACTTCCAAAACGGTGAGCGTGTGTTTTATGCCGGGCCTGGCCAGCTGGAACTCCTGTCACTTAGCTAGTACCACCGTGCAGTGAATAGCTACTGTGTGTTCATCTGTATTAGCTCATCTGATAAGATGTTGGGTTCAGGGGTGGGGATTCAGAAGACATGCTTCCTGGTCTTGAACTTCAGCTCTGTCTATTGGTAGTTATGAGACTTAAAAAATATAAAATCATAACTCTTATAGATATAAAATGAGCCATGTTAAGGATTTTATTCTACTCATTAATCAGTGGTGATTAATGAGTGTGGACATGTTGTAACTGTCTCAAAAGAGAATGCAAAGAACAGACGGATGTATGTATTCTATATTATGTACAGATACAATATGTGATGTATACATTGCACACATTATATTTTACACAATGTGTATCATGTATATGTTATATATATATTATGTATATATTATGTATCAAGAGAAAACAAAGAACAGACATATGTAGTCTATATTATGTGTAGATACAATACACGATGTAGTCATTGTGTACATTATATAATGTATATTATATAGCATGCATACAGATATTATGTAATATATACATATATGGTCATATAATACATATTTGGCCTTTGCATCCTCTTTTGAGCTAGTTATAATTCTGCCTGTTTCCCTCATTCATAAACACACAGAGCGATAGGATGTATTATACAATTATAAATATACATACGATGGCATATTATAGAACTCCATCATATAAGATATAATGTTATATTTTTATAAAACATTATATTTTTTATAAAAATTTCACACCTTTGTATGTATTTGTCTTTCTTGCTTCTGGAGTGGGAGCTGTCATTGATGAAGTTCAGGGTGGCCTCAGTTTACCCTCCATATCTGCCACACTGGGGATAACCCCAGCTAACATTTTAGTGTTTATTTTTCTAGTTTTTGCTGCCAAATTTATCTCCTTTTATATAAGACCCATGACCCATGACATCTGGACTCCCATTGGTACTAATCCTGCCTGATTCTGTGGAAATGCTCTTTTCTCTCTCACAGACTTAAAATCCTTTCTTGCCTTCAAATATTTGATGGAGCAACATTTGAAGAAAAGAGGTGCCTGCTGCAGGAGTCTACTCAGAATTGTCTTTGTGGCTTGAACCAAAGTGCAGGGTCCCACTGAGGCTCCTGGGCTTCAGAGCACTGATGGGTTGTCCGATGGCTTCCCGTGATGCTTTCTTGCACTGACAGAGTTTCTGCTCCAGACTACACTTCATCTTCCATGTTCTGCAGCTCTTTGCATTCCAGAGTTCCGTGGAAATGACAGAAATAATGGCATGACCAAGAACACCTGGTTACCTTTTTTTTTTTTTGCTCCTGAATTCATTGAGTGCCCGGGGGTCTCCCTGGCACCTTCTAGGAGCCTGCCATGTAGGCAGCCCTTGGTGAGTGATTGGCCAGCTGAGCCTCCGACAGGGACTCCTTCTGCTTTTAAATAAATAATCTGTAAAACTGTAGCGAGAACCCTGGGGAGAAATAAAGCACACAGGCTACTTTGGCAACTTGCTGAAATGATTGCTGTTGGTAATAGGAGCAGTCTTCGGGATAGACTCCTTACTTTAATGGAGGGTTGCAGCACTTGGTGATAATACTCTTTACAAGGTGTTTTGATTTTCTAAGTTCTTTCAGGGACCTATCTCCTTTCCTTCCCGTGTGTCTTCTGTGTTATATGGCTTCGCCTGGCAGTCAGCTCTGTCCATCGTTAAGTTGGGTGGGGACCATGGGACCCTCCCTAATATTTCCATGCTGATAGCAGAGCTTATATCATGAGAAATGTGTACCATTATACTTGCCATAAGAAAAATGTCTTCTTCTTGACTTTGGGAATTTGCACGCCTTCCCTTAAAATCTGACTAATTTCTATCTTTTCTTTGAGTCTGAGCTTAAGTTATTACTTCCATAAAAGATCAGTCTTTGAATTTCCTGTTGTAGGATTAGATATCACCTTTGTGTGTGTCCTAGGTCTTCCTGCCTTCTAGTTTCGTGTTATAATTTCTCTTTTCTTGGGTGTCTCCAACTTAGACCATGGCCTTCATAAATATAGGGAATTGTATTTAGCAGATTTGCCATAGATATGGTGTAATGCTCTCCCAGCATCACACAGCTATAGTTGACTGATCTGGGATCTGAGCTCTTGACCACACAATGCAGCCAACCCATTGACTCAGGTGCAGCAATTTCATTGTTTAAGGCATTGAGTTTCAATAGCAATTTGCTATGAAGCATTATTTGAAGCCATTGCTAACTAATACTGCAACCAATGGTTTGTCCACATTTCACATTTAATTGCAGCAATTTGGAATATAGAAAGAGTAGTAGTTTAGTCTTCATTTTCTCTTAGCTATCAGATCTATAAATTTGACATTGTTTGAATAAAGTTCTTTTGGACAGGAAATGTGTACATGGCTATATCTGTCTCTACAATAGTGTTACATATTGGTCCAAAATAGTCACCTTACAAGAAATCCTGTAGTTCTACGATAAATGCATAAAGCTGTGATGCTTATAATAGGAATTTTCTTACTCTACACATTTTTTTTTTTTTTTACTTTAAGCGTGTGTCCACTAGAGGGAGAAGAGAGACTCAGAATAAAACTGGTTCTCAAATCCCACAAATATAAAATGAAATAACTTTGTCTTTTTAAAATTCATGTAACTTACAGGGTTCAAAAAAAGATTCATTCACTTAAGAAATGTACATTGACCATCTACAATGCGCTTCCACCACCCCAACCCCACCCATCCCCAGGACAGTTGAAAAGGATTGAAAAATAGAGAAGTAAGGTTGTTAGAATTTAAAATATTTAAAATTTAAATGTTGTGTTTATCCCCAAGCCATAATTTATTACAATTTTACTTCCTTGGATTAAATGGAAGCAAAATCATCAATACTGTTTTCAAAATCAATTTCTAAAAAAATATAAATATTAAAAATATATTTTAAACTTTTGTGTAGGGGTGACAATTTTCCCTTTTGCTTCAGGATCTGCTATGACCCAGCTGTGACCCAGGGTAGCACAGATCTTGCATTTGAGTGTTTTGTTTTTCGCAGATTTTCTTGATTTTTAAAAATATTGCATTGATATACAAATATACAAAGAAAAGGATTTAGGTGTTCATTTCCTCTTAGCTACCAGATCTGTAAATTCTGCATATTTGAATAAAGTTCTGGATTACTTATTTTTTCTTGACTACTTAGTTTTTTTGGGTGTCCCTTCAATGTGTGCCTGAGATGAGAGCTTCTCTCCCCACTCCCTAGTCCTGGACCTTGGTTTTTCTCAAGGCAGATTTATAGCTGGCTTTTCAGGAAAGAGGACTATATCCTAGGTGTCCCCTTATTTTAAAGCACTGATTATCTGATTAGACACTTCTCCAAAGAAGATGTGTAGATGGCCAACAGATACATTGAAAAAAAATGCTTATTATCACTGAATATTAGAGAAATGCAAATCAAATCCACAATGAGATATCACCTCATATTGTGACAATGGCCCATATAAAGAAAATTATAAAAAACAAGTGTTGGTGAGGGTGTGGATAAAAGGAACTCTCATACACTGTTGATGGGAATGTAAATTGGTGCACACTCTGTGGAAAATATCATGGAGGTTCCTCAAAAAAAAAATTAAGAAAAGGACTACCACATGATCCAGTAATTCCCTTTGAAGTATTTACCTGAAGAATATACTAATTTGAAAACATATATGTACCTTTATGTTCATTGCAAAGTGTTCAGTGTTCACAATAGCCAAGGCATGGAAACAACCTAAATGCTCTCTGGAGATGACTAAATAAAGAAATGTGGTAGACATATGATGGACTACTACTCAGCTATAAAAAGGATGAAGTGTTGCCACTTGCAGAAACATGAATGGAACTTGAGTTAATTATGCAAAGCAAAGTAAGTCAGAAAGAGAAAAACGAACAGATCATTTCACTCATGTGTGGAATAAAAAGAAACAAAGCAAGAAAAATAACAAAATACCAACAAAATTAGCTCTTTGACTGGCAACTAAATGGTGATTACCAGAGGGTGAGGGGGATGTGAGGGATGTATAGAAGGGGTCAATGTCATAGTAGCAAATCATGCTAGGATTTTGGCATGGGTGCAGTGTGTTATATACATTCATTGAGATGTGATGGTGTATTCCTGAAACTTGTAAACCAAGGGGACATCAATAAAAGTTTAAAAAACCTTTTATTTCTTTATTTGATTACACAATACTCTATGGAATACGTATCATAGTATATCTAAGTGGAGTTTGCATTATTTCCAACATTTCAGAACCACAAACAACACTAACGAACATCTTCGAGTTAAACTTTAAAGTATTGTGTAAATGTTTTAAAATTTAGTTAAAATGGGTAGAAATTTTTATGTCTTCATTAAAGTTTGGTTGAAGGAAAATGTTTATAACTGCACAAAAGTTGTCCAACTTCCCTAGACTGTCAAAAAGAAAGCCAGTAGGAATACAGTAATTTGAAGTCCACATAACTTTTCTACTCATAGAAGAGCTTTCTGGCATCAGTTCTAAGTCACCTGGTTGTCTTCCTCCCTTGTCTTTTACGTTCCATGTGCCTAAAATGATCAATTTAAAAAATTTCTAATATTCAACATGTTAGATTATGATCAGATGATCATGTGTTTTGCCCCCAGGTACCCTATGAATTCCTTGTCAGATTTACCTTGGTCTTACTATGACCCAGCAGAAGATTAGGCTCACCGATTGAATGAATAATGGTTGTTGAATGAATGCATCAATGGAAGGGAGTGTGTTAATCTACCGTGCAGTCACAGGACACTGTTCTGCTATTCTGTCTCCGAGAACTCCTCTTGCTTTTATAAATAATGCCATGACCTTGAAGATCTCACTCAAATACTTCTTTTTTTTAAGTTTTCAATACTAAAATCATTGCTAATACTATTTCTGCAATGACAATAGATGACTTAAGTCAGTTCCCTAAAAGCAGAGCCTGCAATAAGGATTCTGGTGCCCAAGATATATTGAGGAAATATTCTGAGAGGGGAGGAATTGAGGGAAGCAGAATGGGGCGGGAGAGGGAGCTGGATAACGTCATGGTCACAGCTGGAATTTAGTTTCAACTTGCTCCCATGGTGAGCTCTGGAGTGTGATTTGTGCCTCAGCATTGGTCCAGGGTGAGGCAAGGGACTGGCCTTTTTACATACCCTGTGTCAGTAAGTTATTATTATGTGCTGCGCCCAGGGTAGTGAGGAGGTGTGCAAAAGCTCCTCTTCAACAGTATTGACTACTTTGCCCCATGCTCCTGATCATCAGTATGAAAAAGAAGGTTGTATTAATTACTTAGATACCAGTTTGAAGATCATTATAGTGAGATTTTAAACTGCATTTAAAAAAATGTTCTTAGACATTCCCATAAACCATCTTACTAAAAGACCTTAGAGATTGTTTGCCATTATCATTCTGCTTTACTGAACCTGAAATGCAATGCTTTTATATTACCAGAGTGACTTACAATTTTTTTACTTATGTTTATTTTTTGACATGGTAATTATTTGAAGTGTTTCTTTGCAATATTACAGTGAAATGAAACATATGATAGATTTCATTTTTATTCAAATAACATTTGAAACCAGAGATTTTTTGAATATATTAAGGCATGTGCTTAAACACTTGTATGTGTTTATACGCAATGTGTTCAAGCATTTTTATGATTTTGCCAAAGCATATTTAATCAGTAAAAGAATTTTATTTTGTTTTAAAGCTCAGCTTTTAATTAAGTGCATTTTAGCTACCTCCCAAATATAACTTAATAAAGTCCTTTGATCTTAAAAAATATAAAAAACATCAGAAGGTGATAAGTTTTTTCCCTATTTTAAAATTAGTCTTTATATATTTTGCTATGTCACTTGTGTGACCTTGCTTCATAAATTATTCCCAACTTTGATAATTATCCATTTAAAAATTTATTTTATAATTATTCCTATTATTTTTTAAGTATCCGTATGTAATATAATATAAATATAAATTATTTATTTTATAATTATCCATTTTAATATCATTATCCATCCAAGTGAATTTGGAACATCCCAACGGCATCTGTCTGTGCTACAAATACGAGGTGGCTCAATCTAGCTTTTTGACCACAGTTATTCAGATTCTCTTCCTTCCTCTTTTCCCTATTTCTCAGAAAAAAAATCCTTCCTCAAAAGTTTGTGGGTGTTGCTGAACTAGTATGAGATAATCTTCTCAGATGTCTTTCTCCCGACTTTCTCTTCTTGGCCCTCCTCGAAGCTCCTCAGGCACCTTATCAAACATGCCCCCCTCAGCACAGCCAGCTTCACCCAGGGCCTGACACCCACAGAACACTGAGTCATCCTTCTCCTGTGAGAAGGAGGCTCTGTCCCCTGTGTGGGTCTGCTCTTTCCTCCTGGGCCCCA